TAGTGTCGTGTATAGTAGTGTCGTGTATAGTAGTGTAGTGTGTAGTGTAGTGTAATGTGTAGCATATAGTAGTGTAGTGTATAGTAACACACCTGTCAATACAAAGGGGTTGACGGGTATGTCACCTACTGCTCGCGCGTTGAACAGGGGAATTGCTGTGCAGTTACAATGCTTGTGTCAAGCTTACGTGAAGGACGCCCGACGCCCTGGCGGTCACGGGGCGGGGGGGGGCATACTTCACCACTCTGGTCAGTGTGTAGTTGGTGAAGGGTAGGGCAGTGAGGGACCGGTGGCTGCGACATCACTCACCGACGCTGTGAGAGGTGGCCGGGAAGCAAAGTGGGGTCACTGGTTTCATAGCGCAGTGCGATCACCATTGCCCCAGCACATCAATTTTTCATGTTTAACGGTGGGTGGATGGGTGGTGTGGGGGCATGGATGGGTGGTGGAGACGTGGATGGGTAGAAATATGGATGGATGGGTGGTAGGGTTGGTGGGGGTGGTGGGTGATCTACCGCTTGTAGATTCGTTCATTGTTGGTCAATCCACTGCTGGATGAGGGCCTACCAGGCCACTGCCACCCCAACGATCCTGCAACGCAGCAATCGATCCGGCACCTGCACCACAGCTGATTTCATCGCTCCGTCTCCTCGGTGGATGTCCCCTGGTACACTCCATTATTGGGCCGCCACTCCGGTACTATTAGAATAATTATAAACAATTATGATAATTGTAGTAATACAGTCCCTCCAGAAAAACGCGATTATGCGATCGCAAGATTCCACGCAAAATCAGCCAAAGTCCGCATATTTATGCGGGGGGGCGCGTTTTTTCAAATACGCCGCACTTTTGCCGCATAAATTGCAGATTTCCGCGCGCAAAATATGCGGGCTTGCATGATTTCATAATCCCCGCATTTTCGTTGCAAAAAGTCACATATAGCTTAGCAGAAAGTTGAAAAATGTTGCGTTTACTTCACACAAGCGCAGCCATTTCCCCTGTTGCCATGGGAACGTTATGAAGTGTTAGAGGCTACGTAGTTAGTTTTATTCAGGAGTTTATGCAACTTTACAGTTGTAAGATTGCACTTTTTTGTTAGTAGTATGTAAATTTACATTACTGTAAGACTGTACTGTTACTGTATTGCTTACGTTACTGTGCACTGAAAACACTTATTTTAACAGAAGATGTCTGTTTTGTATAGCTACCTCTGTAAAACAGGAAGCACACATTTTATTTTTTAATATTTTATTTATTCATTTTTACAGAAGTTGTAGCATATTCATTTTGTAAAGCTACAGAACTTGTTCGACTCAATGTTTTGTAAGTTTGAGCCATCTGTTTGTTAAGGTCTGAAATAAAACAAGATGAGAACTTAAATATTCCCAGCACTTTCTGTGATGTAGTATGCTTGCTTATCATAGGAAGTAATAAGAAATGACTCTTTACATTAAAGTAGTAGCCTAGTGAATAGGGTGTTGGGGGAATCACTTTTTTTTCTCTTTTTCATCAAACCGCAGTTTTTGCAAGTTCCCGCAAATTAATCGCATAAAATTGCATATTCCATCGCATTTTTTAAGAAAACGTGCCGCATAATCAACGATTTTTGCCCGCAACAATCACCAGAAAACTCTGCGTTTTTCTGGAGGAACTGGTAATAGTTATTATTCTCATGCTGTAGACCCAAGTAGCTGTATTGCCAGTCAAGTACTTGGCGACAGGCGAGATGAAATGTGCCTGCTACACCAACCCACGCTGACCAGCGCGGTGAAGTATGGTCAGCCCCTCTGCTTGCCCACACCCGAGATCAACGACCTTAAATCACGACCCCCGCCGGTCCCCAGCTCAAACGCAGCGTGGTGGCGTATTTACGGTGCGGCGACCCTGACAATTTGTAGCTTTAACCTTTCAACGTTTTATAGAGGGCGGAAGCCGTCTTTAATTCGGAGACCCAATTTTTTTAAAATTTACGTTCGTAACATCTTGTGTGTGTGTGTGTCTAGGCTAGCATTATTTTACGAGCGACAAATTCACACGGCGGTGATCTGTTAATAGAAGGGGCGCCGTAACGCGTTTTTTTTGGTACCGCAACGACCTCGCAACCCAGAGGGTTTACCGGTTAGACTCCCATCTCCGGCCACTGGCAGTTGAAACAACGGAGCAGCTATATTGTTTGGGTCTTTCGGTAAAGTCGCGTAGAACACAAAAAAAAAAATACGACGTTTCGATCGCAATACAAGCAATCGTCATCCCTTATTTTTTTCCTCCTGATGACGCTTGCGTGTGTTGCGATCGAAACGTCGTAGTTTTTTGTAACGAAAATGTTGTTGTTCTACGTGACTTTACCGAAAGACCCAAAGAATACGAATTAATGCGGTCACGAAAGCTTTAAGTGAAGATTTAATAGAGCCAGCTGGTTTTTTTTAAATCCCCCTCACCGGGAAACGGGGACTCGAGAGAGGACACAAGGGGGGGTACAGCCACTGCAGATTCGACTGGAGCCGGAAGGGTAACAAGTAAACCCGTAAAAACAAAGTTTTTCACTATAAATCCTTTATATGCGTGGCATCGGGGCGGCTAGAGTCCTCTTGTCCTCTGGCTTGAGATGGCTGCCACCTATGGGTCAGATGATTGTCTGGCAGCATTAAACAATTGGTAATTAAATATTTTTTAAAAATTTCCCTAAACAGTCTAAAATTTTGGAAAAATTTTCACGAACATTAATTGTCACGCACAACGAGTCTGTGTGCAAAATGTCAGCTCGATTGGATCACGGGAAGTGGGTTAAAAAACGACCGAAAGATTTGCACGGTCCTAAGCAAGCAAGCAAGCGAACTTAATATAAAGGATTTAAAAATACCAAAAAATGCTCGTTTAGGTCACCTCCTGCAGTATAAATAAATATTCTGATTGTGATCTCTAACTGTGGCTAACTTATTGACGCTGTTTGGAGGACAGAGGAGGAGGTGGTAGTGGAGATTTAAGAAAAGTGTGACCGTTGTTTCAACTGGAGAGTTAAACTTAAACTAACCTATTTTACACGCTTTCATTTAACTCGCTCTGTCTGTTGTTGTTGTCGTTGTTGTATTCTCAAATCTTGCAACTCAATTTTTACTCACTTCCCAATCTGGTATCGACTGCAAACTTGAAATACCTATGTCATACTGATGACAAGACTATATTCTATCATAAAAAATCCAAAACATACATTTTTTAAACATTTTACACGCTTTTATTTAACTTACTCTGTGTTGTCGTATTCTAAAATCTTGTAACTCAATTTTTACCCACTTCCCAATGTGTTATCGACTGCAAACTTGGTATACTTATGTCATACTGATGACAATATATATTCTATAAAAAATATATATTTTCAAACATTCTTTTTGATATGTTATGTTTCGGCTTGGGTCTAATTGTCCACGCTCAACTGACGTTGGCTGTAATTGTGGCAATCTTCGGGGCCACTTCCTGGAGTCGTGGAGTTCTTACATTACTAGTACATTTCATGAAAGCGTGTTTAAAAAAAAAAAAGTTTTTTTTAAATATGACTTTTTCTTTTCTTTGTGCCAGCCGTGTTTCGGGTTGCCCTTACCACCCCCCCCCCTCCAATATGGTTTGGGGGGCGGCACGAGCCTGTTTCCCCATCTCTCTATATCTCCCCGCTGCTTAAAAGACAACGCACACATTATCAGACAATGTTTTGCTTGCATGCAAACCGCAGGTGCCATGTGTGGTCAATGCAGACTTGATTCCTCGCAAAAGGAATCGATTTGGTGTTTGAACATCCCCTGTTTTATTGCAGAAAGAATAAACGCCCATTCTTATTTTTCATGGTTTGGCCTATGTTGACGGTGTGTGTTGTATGTGTGTGCGTTTACGCGGGGAGCGGGAGTGTTGCTGTTAGCGCGCTGCGCTACCAACCCGGCGACCCGAGTTCGATTCCCGCTCACGGTCAACACCGGTGACGATTTTCTGAACCGGTCCTGGGCCTCCCCTAGGTCGACACGGCCTCAAATAAGTACCTTGTGCGGAGTGTAAGTATTGCTACTAGGGAGACAAAGGCGGCCGGGCGTGGTGTTGGCCACCCACTTCTTCGTGTGCCATGCTGGCCTTCATAGGTGCTCGCTAACAGCACTTGCCCCAACAGTTTGTTCAGGCTATATGGGGGATCTCTGTCTTTGTGTATGTGTGCGTGTGTGTGTGTATGTGCGTCACAACGTGGTGATGTAACGGGGCCTCGCACACTGCCGCCAATAAAAAAATTAATGTAAAAGAAGATCCCCCCCCTCACCACCCACCCACCCTCACCACCCACCCACCCACCCACCCCCGCCACCTCTATCGCACTCCCGGCGGCAGTGCGTTAAAAGGGTCCCGCCCCGGGCAGTTTTGCTCTACGATCGGCAGACCACGTTGCGCCAAACAGAACCCGGCCGACGTGGAAGAGAAGGCCAAATACAGTTCGCTCGATTGGATGCCCCTTTTCCTGCCGGCAGCAATTACAGGGTCGTGCCTCTGGCGAGATGTTGACTACCTCGCCTGGTATACAGGAGGCGTGGATGCGACAGCCTTTGTAGGCTACACGGGGTGCAAGTCCCAGTTTCTCTGCTCTAGTATCCGCCTTAATAGGTGCTAATTCTAGATTTGAAGCTTTCGTGACTGCAAGGATTAATATTCTTAGGTTTTTTCGGTAAAGTCATGTAGGTAAAATTTTTGTTTTTAAATGAATGAAAGTAAAATAAAAATAAAATAAAAATCACGACGTTTAATTT